AAACCCGACAAAGTTCTTTGTTGTATGTTTTTGTTCGCTTTTTTGGCCTTGACCGTGCACAAAACACACTAGTTGTTTACTCCGTACTGAGGAACTAACCAATAGAAACATTTTCGTTACGCAATTCATGCATAGTGTATGAGCGCAAAACAAAAGATTGTGCACGGCCGAGGACCTTCCAACAAAAATCTTGAAATCTTTGTTTGCTCCTTTGATGTTTGCCGGGCCTCATTACCAGTTCCCTCTATTAACTATGGTTTCAAAGCCATAGTTTCTTGTGGTTGTTTCTGTTGCAAGTTAAATAACGTGGTTTTGTTGCGTTAATGAGTTTAACTGAAATTTTCGTTTTTCCTTGTAGGAAATAGCAGAGTTAGAAAGACTGGAGTGCTTGAGACACCTTGTTGAACTGTCTGTTATCAACAATGCGGTGAGTTCCAGAGAGGAATAACTATCATCGAACTTAGTGTGTATGCTCTCCTCTGCTGTGCAGGGCCGGGTTGTTTGAAAGCCGGTGAACGCTAACCCAGGATTATAAGTTAACAGAAGTATTAATCTTTATTGTATAAAAATGTTTTTCACTACCTATAGTTTGTAGTTTGGGATTATTCAAACTCAAAAGTGAAGGACCAAAAAATATAAACAGAAAACCTCACCGAAAGTAGTCACAAAACTGAAATCAAAATTCTCGTTAGTCCTGGGTCAGCTTATTGGGCTTTGAACTACCCGGCGTAGGTGGTTTTCTTTTCGTCTTAGCCTGTAGCCTCTGTTTTCGGGGTGGAGGGCTAATGTTTTCTTGACTACGAGCTTTACATTAATATATATTTTGTGCGCCCTCGTCAGGTGACTCGGCGACTTCTTCACAGACCTCTGCTGGTTTACCGTATGCCCAACCTTTTGTGTATTGATGGGATCCCTGTGTCAAATGACGAAAAGACCAAGGCTGAACTGTACTATCTTGAACAACAGGTTTGTTGTCAATTCCGGCGACTGTTACAAATTCTCGTTTTCTTCCTCGTTATTGCTAAATGTTTGTGCTCTTGATGTTAAGGCTAGGTTATAGAGGTTTTGCACGGCAGCCATGTTGCATGGCAGGAACAATAGATTCCTTTTCCTATGGGAAAAAATGTTCTTTCTAATGCAAAACATTTTCATTGTTCCCGCCATGCAATATGGCTGCTGTGCAAAACTTCTATACGGGCAGTGTTTTTCGTGTAACTTTCCTTGCAACGATTTTGCACGTCGCACGGTTTCACAGTTTTCAAAAACGTTGCGAAGCATCATTTTCGCCTTTGACCGCACAAGGTGTGCACGTCCTGGTGTTCACTGGTCACTTTTCAGCTCAAATAAAATTAACGGAATTTGTTAGCTAGAGAAAGTTAGATAGCTGTCCTCTTGTGTCATGTGACCTGTCATGTGACCTCTCCCCTGACTTTTCTTGGCAGAGTGGAATGCAAAGTATGACGTCAGCACTGGAGCCTAGTCTCCCAGGAATCGTCACAACACGTTCGCAGGCCCCGCTTCGAGTAGGTTAAACCACACCTTCTTAGAATGGTGGAAGTTGTTTAGAAAATGATATTGTACTGGTCTTTGTACTGTGTAAGCAGTAAAATGCCAGTAAGATCTTTACAATGTTTCTTTAGGTTTTGATCTCAGAAAGGAGTGTCAGTCATTGAAGCTTGTTACTTGTAGGTTGTGGCTTTATGCTTTGCTGTAAGATAAAATGAGTAAGAACCATTATTTTAAGTGTCAATACATTCTTATGCATTACCAGCACTAATTGGGGATACTAAGGTAAAAGTATGCGAGACGTTTTTCTTGGAAGATCTCAATTTTTCAGAAAAGGTCCCATTCCCATGTAGTCACGTGTTACGGAGAGCTTTAGGAGTATTTATCGTGGAAACACTATCAAACCGTTTCCAGTAACGACCGTTGAGTGGGGACTGGGTCCGTTCTTTCCTCGGCAAGTTGAAAGAAAAGTAACAAAAATAAACTTGAATATACATTATTTTGGGAGTAACTGGTGAATTAACTGAGAATGTAGTGAAAGAATATCGGAGGAGAGTACCAGAGTGTTTCCTCGCGGTATTTAGTTCCATGTTAGTATTTTCATTGATTCGCTTGATGATGGCTTGATTTTACAGGTAACCACAGTCCAGCTGAGTAACACCACAGACCGTAATTTAGCCAGCACTGGGCTCAGACAAGACTTCCCTAATGGTCCTTTACTGAGGACGTTTGAACAACAGCAAGACAAAGGTACAAAGAACACAAAACACAGCCTTCGTACATTTTTGGTGCGAAACTTAAAACGTTTACAGTAAGGACTCTCGAACTGTGAACACTTGAAATTTGGGGAAAAATTCAAGGATAATATGCGATAAAATATCGAGGAGGAAAATCGTTAATTTTTGCGTTGGAATTAACGGGATATGTGGGATACGCAGAGCACCCCTCCAGATGTTTGTGGCCCGTTGGTGACCGGATTAACGGGGCTCCACTGTATATATATATAAGCTCATTTCGAGATGATACTTGTATGGATAACGTAAATGAACTCTTGGAGAGGTTAGAGCAAACACCGTTTTCACCAGCTGTCGTATTAAGCAATGATATCATAGGCGGATTTCAGGACATCGCCAAGGGGCCTCCTTCCCTCATCTCTCGTCTGGAAAATGTGAAATCTGTAGCACCGTATGTTATTTCTACAGCCCGTTTGTTTATTCTATTATTCACAGCGCGTCGTCGCGGGGGAAACGCGCGTGGAACCTCGAGTCACTCGCTACAAACCCTGTCGACGTCCGACTCCTCCCACAGCCTGTCAGGAGACAGGTATGGACGTACTTCCAGTAGCCTTAATCCTCAACAGTCGGGCCTTATCAGCAGGCAGCCCCAGACCTCCTCGTCCGTGCCCTACATAGCGCACGGGTCTTACTCACCTTATAACATGAACGGCGACGTCACTGATATCAGCAGGTGAGATTTCGTGGTAGAACACGCTTGCAGGCTGCGAAGTTGTATTGTAAATTCCCATTTAAACAGCTCTCTACTTTCCCTTCTACGCCAATGGCTGCTTATTGCAAACGAGCCAAATGGCTTGTGTAAACGCAGCCTCGTTCCTAGGGTCCTGAGAGAGGACCCCTGGGAACGAGTAATATGTTCTTGACACGCGCCATCTTTACGCATGCGTATCACGATCTTCACACACAGCGTCTCCTATTTCATACTATTTCGTGCCTTCATTGCTAGTCTCTCTTGTCCGTCTTGTCTATCTTTATTGTTCTTATCCCTCCGCCCTTGTCTTTTCTTTACAATCTGTGTGCTTGACGCAGAGAAAACAGGCGTGGCAGGGGAAATTTGGCATTATTTTTGCTCTTTTTCGTTTAGGACCAAAAGTAATCGATTCAAGTAGAGGGCAAATGAGGAATCACCTCTCGTCAACACCTGCCGTGGTCACGTGGCCCAAGAGACGAAGAGTTCTGACTAAGGACGCATACACCGCAAATGGAAGCCAAAAGAAGTTTGGTCTCCACAACTCAAAGTGCATAAAAAAACAGACATAGCGTGGTTCAGAGCACTCGCCATTTCTTTGCTGTTGTATCCCATTTAGTCATCAGTCTCCTCCCGTCTCTAATCAAAGACGAGACGCCAGGGTCGGGTTGCTAGAAAGCTGGTTAGCGCTAACCCAGGATTAAAAGTTAACCGAAGTATAAAAATTCCTTGTACAAAATTTTTTTTTACTGCTTAGGTTTTGTGTAGTTTGAGATTATTCAAACCCAAAACTGAGGAACAACACGATATAAACAGAAAACCTAACCAAAAAGCTACAAAACTGGAATGAAAATTCTCTCAAATCCTGGGTTACGTTAATCGGGCTTTGAAAAACTCGACCCTGGGTATAAAAGACAGTCGGAATAGGGAGACTGGGGCATTTAAGATTGTTCTAACAATTTTAAGGAATTGTTTCTCCAGTCTGTAAATAACGTTTTTTTGTCATAGTTGTCAGCTTGGATAAAACCTTGTATTTATACTTTTATTGTCCGTCTTACCCTTCCGTGATGTTTTCTTTTTAATTTTTCTCTTGTTTTCTTTGTTCTTTTTTTATGCCCCATACCGTATCAGGAAGTATTTATTGTAAATATTACAAACTGCGTCGGGTACATTTGACACCACAGAAAATACCATAAACTGCCGCTTATAAACCCTGGGCTTTTACAACTTTCGTAAGGGCTTATAAACGGAGGGGCTTATATCCGAGGGGGCTTATAACCGGAATAAAACAACTGTTCCCAAACAAGCCATAGCTTCTCCTGTTAATCGAAATAGGTTCTTCATTTACTGGTAATTAAGCTATAAAACATTAGAATAAAACCAAGAAAGCGAGAGGGGGTCCTATCCGGGGGGGGGGGTT